GAATCTTTATCTAGTAGCCCCACCTATACATACTGCCTGGGTACTGGGCAGTCAGTGTTTTATTCAGCAACCAGTGAGAGAAACATATATACAGAAGGACACCCCCATCATACATGCAGTATGCTCACACATGAACCCTCTTAGGCACCTTTCCATAGGGTTTCTTTCAAAAGGCTGTGCGCCATTGACCACAATAAAACTAGGTGTTTCAGTTCAAAACTGTTGTCCTTTATAGTGATTCAAACATCATGTAACTAATAGGTTAAAAGTGTTCTGTTATCACACATAGCCTCTTGAAAGAGGAGTAGTGTGGATGGCATTTCTTGGCTATCTGTGTTCTATTCTACATGGATTTATTGTATTTTCCCTTTAGTAATTGCTCAGTAATATATGAATTTGTTTTTTAAAAATTTGTACATGTGTTCATGTGCATGTTGGTATGTCTATATGTTCAGTGTTATGGAACAGAATCTTTGTTTAACTATGTAAATATGTGTTGTATTTGTTTATGCTGCATTTGTTTAACTTTGTAAAGATGTGCTGCTGTTTCACCTTGCCTACCTAAGGCATATTATTGGTCTAATCATGAGCTGAACAGCCAATAGCTAGTCAGAGGAGAGGTAGGTGGGGCTGGTGGGCAGAGAGTAAAGGGGAGCCAGCCATCCAGCAAGCCAGACACACAGACAGACATCGAGGAAGCCTTACGCATGTGAGTGTTCCGTAGATGTATCCAATGACGATGGGCTCCACAACTCTACAGTATGATTGATTAGTTGTGGCTTTCTGTAAAGGCCTCTGTCTACAGCAAAGAGAAGTTTCCTTGATGCAGGGTGAGGATAACACTTATTCCCTTGAGGAGGGAGTGGGGGGAGTAAGGACAAGTAGATGATGTCATTAAAGATTATGCTGGTTTAATAAAGTTGTGGTTGTAGGTTCTCTTCCAAGATCCATGCCTTCACTAGTCCTAGGTAGCTGACTAGTTTTTAAGTACTAGGCATGGTGTGTCCTTCTTGTTGTTTGTCCAGTCAGAGAGTTGTGGTTACTGGCAGGGTATACGTGGCACTGTTACACCCTTATGATTATTCTACCATGCTGGCCATTGTTGTGGTTCATAATCATTGTAGGTGGATATTGCTAGCCATTTCCCTCCTTTGGAAGCTTGCATGGAACATTCTGGAACCATAGAAGTAGCCCCCAGGAAGGAGATATTCAGGTCAGATTTCGCTTCGCTCCTCTAGGTACCAGGTCCAAAGTGCATGGTGTCTTCCGTAATAAAGACTTACCTTCCACTTACAGGAAAAAGCCAAGGGTAACAGAAACAATAGCCTATAATGTTTTGGAGTCTCTTGGATAATCTAACCAACAATTGACTCAGAAGAAGGCTTCTCATAACTGCAGTGTTGTATTTTTTTGGTAGATAATCTGTGGCTGTTGAGCATTGTTAGCCTAGAGGTAAAAAAAACATCCTTTAAACTATACATTTGCATATAAACTTAAATGTATTATAGGGGTTTTAAGAGTTATACCACATAGTCAGTCAGGCTGGCCTTCACCTTGTGACAATCCGTCTGCCTTAGCATTACCAATGCTAGGATTTCAGGTGATTATCAGTATGCCCTTCCTTTTGTGTCATTTGAAATATATTCTTCACTAATCAGGCATCAGGACATGAGGAAAGTGCCTAGGATTTATTACTGTTTTCATGTATGCTCTCTTTCACTCAAATGGATGAGTCCAGTCTCTGGCGGGGGCACACCGTTGAGCAGCTGAGTGGTTAAAATGGAATAAGGAACTCCACTGGAATAACGGCTTGAGAGTGACTCTCACTTATTTTCATGTGCTGTGGACTCCTCAAGGGGGCTTGGTTTAAAGCCCTCTGCAAATGTTGCTGTATTTGCCAATTTACTCATTCGCTGAACATCAACTAGCATGTGCAGTCTGCTCTCATCAGCCTAGGCCAGACACTGAGAGCTACAGGAGGTTTGCTTTGTAGGTTTTCTCTTCACAAATCAGAAATCCCATCATATACATTCCCATTCCCTTCAATAACTGGCAATGGGAAGAACTGGGATGAGCTATTACAGAAAGGCCACCATTGTCTTCACAACGCTGCTGCAAGGGTGCCCTAGATCAGAATTGTAAAATAGTTTGGACAATCTTGTAACATAAAACACGGTTCAGAAAACCAAAGATTTAATCTTATTTATAGAAAGATGGTTGGCCGGGAGGGGTTGGTGTGGGGAGAGCAGCTTAGGGTCATCATGAATCATTTTTAAAGTGCCAGGCAAGTGAAGACATCTTCTGGAATTCACTCTGACTGACACTGAATTCTTCTACTAAGCAAATATGTGATGAGTAGATAAAAAAAGAAAGAAATGGAGGTCCTGAGCACCGAGGACAGATAGAATACAGAAAATCTAAAGCAGGCTTCCTATCTGGCTCAAAATAAAGGTACCCTTAAACTTGTAAAAGACAACATTTTTATTTGAATGATATGACAGAGCTGTCACAGGAGTGCTACCTGCTATAAAGAAAGCGCAAGAATTATCACCTTTATTAGAGCAGTGGCACTAGGCTCCAGCCATACATTTCTAACTTCTGTCCCTCTGCAGAGACAATTTTCTTTTCTTAAATAAACTGTCATGCTCCTGTTAATATATTGTTGACTCTCTCAAGTCCTGAGAATACTGCTGATATAAAACATGTATATGTTAGATTGGTAATAGTATCTTTAGTGTAACTGACGAGAACAAATGTGTTTCCCTCATGGCTGTGCTAATGTGATAAAGGAAAATTGGCTGTTCATCAGTTTTTGGGCTGGGTAAAGACAGTAGAGATGGAACCACGTTCTTTTTTATGCATTAATACCACCGGGAACTTTTCGCTAGTTATATTTCATGTGGCCTGCATGTTGTGCAAAGATGCTGTAAAACATGAGATAATGCTACAAATAACAAACTGGAAGAGCCTGTATCTTTCATAATGATAACAGTCAAACACCAAATAATAGTAGCAGGCAGAGAAAAATGGGATGCAAAGAAAATAAAAAAAAGATGTGTCCCTCCTATTCAGTAGAGAGAAATAGACACAGGCTCATGAGGAACTTTAGGTGAATTTCAGCTTTGTTTAAAATGGAGTTTCATAAAATCCTGGGTCAGTCTATTTCAGAAAGAACACATTAAAATTAAAGAAGTTGGCTAGAAGAATAGCAATGCTGTCTAACTACTTTTTTGTGAAGGAAATCCATATTACCAAGCAGTTATGTCATGGACCCTGGATTCTTGAGTTTGGTTTTTGAGTGGAGGACTCTGGAAAAAGATTCCTAAGGCAAGGATTCACATAACAATGTAAAAGGTTTTACAAACTTTTCTTCATTGTTGCAAATCCCTTTTAATAGATATATTGTTGAAAAATTTTGGGTTGGAAAACTGGTTGGGGAGGGGGAGTTTTTAGGGAAGGAATGAGGTGGGCTTGATCAAAACACATTATGTGGGTGTATGCAATTTTTAACACTAGTAAATAGAAAGATAATGCATATCTATACATTACAAACAGCTTTAGACCCATGCCAGGCTTACAGCAATTTGAGCCTGGTAAAGACATTGTCTTTGTGCTCTGATCTCACATGTACAATATTCATTGTACTCTTGACTGTTGAAGTCCTACACCAGATCAGTGCGTTAACATGTTCATCAATGAACCTACAGTGATCCTAATTCTAACTTCGTTATCTTTCATACTCCATACTAGAACAGCATTCCCACGGTCACACCTTAGTAAAGTGTCAACATCAGCCTTGAGTTGCATAACAGTAAGTGTCCATCTTCTTACTCTCCCTTTCAGCCCATCCCTTCTCTCAGGCCTGTCTCGAGTTGCATAACAGTAAGTGTCCATCTTCTTACTCTCCCTTTCAGCCCATCCCTTCTCTCAGGCCTGTCTCGAGTTGCATAACAGTAAGTGTCCATCTTCTTCCTCTCCCTTTCAGCCCATCCCTTCTCTCAGGCCTGTCTCTTTCCACATGAGTTGGGTTAATGGTTTGAATGCCTTTTACAGTCAGAAACTCTTCAACACGAAGACTATTTTTAAACGCTATCATTGGTGGCTAATCAACTGCCTATTCTGAATTAGTATGTAATTATCAAAAATTGTGTATATCACAACCTTTGAGGTATTGGCTACAAATGGTGACAGGTTGGTGATTCAGATATCATATCATACAGTACATCCATTTTTTATGCTGTAACCCAGAGGTCATCAAATTGTTACCATCTGCCTGATCACCTGGCTTTGTGATTGTTAAACTGGCACCCAGTAGGACTTACTTGTTTATGGACGATCAAAGTCTACTTTGTTAGTGCTGCATTAAAGTTGATGGCTTATAATGGACTATTTCACCACCACACCAAATTATTTAACTTACAGTATTCTCCAGATATGTATTGGAGAACTTGTTTCTACTGTGATGTAGGTAGCTATTAGATTGTTTGACCAATTTAGGATATGACTGACAAATTTTTATGTTATTTTATTATGGGAAAGTATATCTAAAAATTTATCAACTGGACTCCAGTACCTAAGGAAATGAGTGTTTGTGGCAAGGCACTTTGCAATAGAAACTTGGGTAATACTCACATGTACTTCTTGGGTATATTTGGGTTGGAATATCTTTCCCCTTATGTATTAATTTATTTTCAAGTGTGGCTGTGATGGTATTAGCATTTAAAACATATTGCAGGGTAAAAATTTAGTGTGCATAGTGTTGTTCCATGAGTACCCTGGAATATGTCATCACAGCATGAAAGTTTCCCTGTATAGACTCATATCTGCATCTATACCATGCAAAGATATGGTTTTGCTATTAAAATAAATTACTTCTGATATTTCCACATGAAGGAAGTTGAGAAGAGTAAAGTGACTTAAAGAAAGACAGAAAGGCTGCTGATATACTATTGGTACCAAGTAAAATTTCACGTGCTTGATGGTGCTGATAATTCTTACAGGTACATCAGACAGAAATCAGCTTCTGCCAGGATGGTTTGGATGAGAACAATGTAGCATTCGATACAAGGACTCTAAGTGGTTCAATTACAGACTCTGCCTCCAGCACCATACAAGTAGGATACAGCTCAAATGGTAAGACTTTTGTCTTTAAAATTCTATTTAGTTTTGGCCAATTGCAGGTCCTGGTTTGAAAAAGCAAAGATGTCTTAATAATAATATGTTTAGATACATTCATTTCCCATGGACGCTGTACCAGTGCCTGGTTGTTTAGGGAAATGGGGATTTAATCTTACATCCTTTGGTGCCATCTGTCTGGGATCAGAGACTCAGTACTGTGGCTCCTTCTAGAGGGGGCAGCTCTCCACACCCCTGTCCTGCTTACAGCTGCCAGGCTTACCCAGTCCACTTTGCCCTAACCTGGTCTCCTCTATGTAGTTTCCCTTTATTTCCTTATAAGTATGGTTGCCATCAGATTCAAGATCCATCTTATTCAGGTTTAAGCTCTGCCTCAAGATCATTCTACCCACAACAATCTTTCTCCTAAGAAGGCCACAGTTGCAGACTCCATATGAGCACATTTACCGAGGGGAACTTTAGAACCAACAAATCTGTTCTTATCTCTTTGAAAAACAAGATCTGGCTGTACAGCACAGTCAGGAAGTCACCCACCTACCACATGGTAAAGGAACCTGAGCATGGATACCCAACACCCACATTAAAAAAAATCTATACATGGTGTCCTGAGTCTTGAATCCCCAACCCAGTATAACAGGTAAGTATAGTTTACTGGCCAGCCACTCTGGCTGACTATATGGGCTCCAAGATCTTGAGAGACCCTGCCTCAAAAAATGAGTAGGAGAGTTATTGAGGAAGCATCAGATATCAATCACCCTTTGGCATTCATATACAAGCATACATAATGTAAATCTACTCCCCAGCTCCATATAAATATACAATAAAAGAACAATATGTATTCTTTTTTGACTCACTGAGTTTTAATGAGGGTGTCATTACATGAGAGCTATGGCATATTTTCCAAAAACCGAGGCATACTAGCAACATGTACTATATCAGATCTCTGCTATTTCTCTTCCCACATTTATCAGAACATGTAGATTACAAGATGGTTCACACTATAAACTGAGAACAGCAGAAATAAAAATAAAAATGGTCTTGAAATACCCAACATCATTGCCTTCAAAACACTTGAACTTTAAACTGGAAAATTATATAGTTCATGCTTATTATTAGAAAACCCAAACGACAGGGTATTCTGTAAACTAGGAAGTGTGCTACACATTTCCATCTCCTCCGAGACATAATTGAACTTTTCATATTCTCTTAGATTTTTTAAAATCCATACAGTGAGGTTTATGGTTACAAATATAATTTTTCCCCAAAAGGAAATTCTAACACATATACTTTCATAAAGTTCTCTCAAAATAGATCCTTCCCCTCTAAATGTTTAAGATCTACATTTTGTGTCAGTTCACCACACTTCTTCATTTATGGGGTCTAAGTCACATGCTGTGCAGCTGTAACACACTTCTTAAACAAGGTCCTGTAATAAATTTTTATATAATTTCTGTTTCCATATTATCAGGAAGATATTGGAAGGAAAATAATATGTAAGTACGTTTATCAATATCCGGATTTTCCTCTGGTATGTGTGTATGAATGCATATACATATATTATATACACAGGCATATATTTGAATAATTATCTGACTATATTGTTCCTTGATAATCTGTACTCTGGTGCTAATCTACCTAGAGGCAAACTGGATCTCACTACTTCCTGAGCAGGTAAAGCTACTAATACCTCAAGGCTACACCAATTTTAAGATGATGATATCTTATAGAACCATTATAAGGTTCAGTGAGGCAATACAATATTCAGTATTAGTATTACTCACTCTCAAGTATCCTGCACGTAGTAGATACATAGTACTAGTAATTAATTGTCAAATGAGCAAATGCAGTTCAAAGCACCATGTGTAGCATATACTGAATTATGTCGGTAAATGAAGCTATTGTTAAGATTGCTACAATTATTTCTTCAGATAAATCCATGGGAGTTGAAGGGCTGGGTTGAAATATATGGCTGCTTTATATGAAAGTTGCTCTAATGCATAACAATAGAAAGTTGTGAAAATTTGCAACCTTACTGAAAAGGTAGTGTTTCTCTAAACACCTGTGCATTTTCATGTGTGTGTGTGTGTATGTGTGTGCATGCGTGTGTGTTTCATACTCCTAAGGATGCTAAGTTAGAAGAACTCTTGGGTGTTGGTATAAAGTGAGTCAGCCTTTCCTGAGGTTGACTGGCTTTTCATACACTCCTTGATTGTTTTCATTTCATTTGTGGATTCCTTATTTATATTATGTGTCCATACTTCATGTGATTCCTACGTATTTGTAAAGTTCATTAATGTTCCCAAGAATATTATGCTGAATGCTTTCTCCATTTATTTTAGATAACCAGCTAACTTGTTTTAAGCATGGAACTATTCCTTGAATATTTTTATTCAGGTCCAAACATGCATACAAGATAGAATCTAAGTATTAGGGGTATAACTTGATGATGTATTTGTCTGAAGATTTATTTTTATAATTTAAAACATGTGGGTGGGGTGGTTATGTGTACTTGAGTGCATGTGCTCACAGAGGCCAAAAGAGGGCATCATATTCCTAGAAGTTGGGGTTAATGGGTGATTGTAGGCAGTAGACTATGGGAACTGAACTCGGGTCCTCTGGAAGAGCCCAAGAAGCACCCTAAACCAATGAATATCTCTCCAGGCTCAGTTAGTGAGTTTTAATAATTGTATATACCTGTGTAGCTCTCCTGTGAAAATGTATATAGAATATTTCCATTGTCACAAAGATCCTCCCTTGGCAAATAACACTATGGTTTTGTGCTCTGTTTGGATGCCTGCACAGAATAGTTCAGGAGAGACTCCGGCCACTATTGATGCCCATGTATGTTCCTAAAGAATTATGCAGATATGCAGTCAGTGCTCTTAATATCCTGTCACTCAAACTGTCTCTGTCAGATTTAGTCATATGTATGTAGTAGCATTGACAGCTTCAGAAAACACTTCTAAATAGCTTTCTCAAGAGAATATTACAATTAGTAACACCGAGTATTGTGACACACATGTATCCTCACCAACACCATTGCATGGATACTGCCAAATGGCCTGTGGTGTGTTTTCTGATGATTAGTGACGTGGAGAGCTTTCTGTGTACCTGTTTGCCATGTAAATATGCTTTTCTATGAAGTACATACTCAGGATGGATTTTGGAGGCCAATTTTTGATTGGATGCTTTGTCTTTTTCTTATTAATTTGTAGAAATTCTTTACTATTTTGTGTTTACCAGATACATGATTACCAGGCAATATTTGCCAAGTTAAGTATATAGTTTCATTATCTTCAATGGTAATCTTTGACAAACAACACTACCCCATTTTATCAAAATCTAATTGACAGATCATCACTTCATACTTGTTATGTTTGTGTTTTATTAATGTATCATGACATACTTCGATGTCATCAAGATGTATTCTCTTATATTTAATTCTAAAACTTTCATTATTCTACATCTTTAACTTGGGTCTGTGTTCTATCTAGGATAGGTGTATAGATGCAATGTAATAGAGTGTCCAAGCTTCATCTTGTCCTGCCTAAACAATTAAAGTAGAATTCTTTTTTTAACCATTTGATCATCTTTACCACTCTATAATAGCACCTTCATAATTAGCAAACATTCTGCATGTGTTAACATAGATTGGCTTCTGAATTCTGTCATCTGTTCCCATGACGCATGTACACCTGGGTCAAAATGTGTAGTCTCAGTTATTATGGCTTGAATTTTTGTGTCTCTTTGGGTAAGTTTCCCAGATTTCATTTTCTTTAATTATTGTATTGTCATTCATTTGAACATTAACAGTTGCTTTTCACTTTTTGCTTAAACTTCACTGGAATCAAAATCATTAAGTTCGGGGTTGGAGATATGGCTCACGCTTATGGGTGCTTACTTCTCTTCCCAAGGATGCAGATTTGATCTCAGCACCCAAAATAGGTGACTCACAACCACCTGTATCTACAACTCCAGGAGATCATACATCCTCCTCTGCCTTCTGCAAGCACCCACTCATGTGCGACTTATGCCTGCACACATGTGAATTATACCCCCACACACATGACTTATACACATGCCTTACCCCCCACACACACACAGCTTACACCCGCCATACACACATGACTTACATCATCCCACACACACATTACTTCCACAGACACGGCTTACATCCACCCACACATGATTTACACCCACACATGTGACTTACACCCATGTTTATTAGGATTTATTTTTAGTTGGCATTTTAAAGAAAAAAGCTTTAGGTCTACAGAAAACCTAAGTTGGAGACATAGAGTTCTTGTTTATTCTCTGCCTCCCTTAGTTATATGCCAGTTATCACCACCACTGTGCTATTTTTGCTTTTTAAAATTTTTGTATGCTTCTGTGAAGCTCTCTTTTCTCCACTGGAAATGTTAACACTCACTGATCTTTCAGATGGCTTCTGTGGGTGACCACATCCTCTGAACTCATGTAAGTATTAGCCCTGTGTTGTCCAGAGTCAGTTTTCACAGTACCCCACCCTCATCGCCTGCTTCTTAAATACACTCTGCCTTCTCTTCCAAGATACCCCGTGAGCACTTGGGGAGGAAGTGCTGATAGCACATGGCCTATCAATGAGCTCTCGTAATAGTGTGTTCTTAACCTTTGGATCAGTTGGGAGACTCTGCATTAACCATTACTTTCTGGAAGCTTCTCTAACCAAGATCGAAAGCATCCCCAATCTATGATAGAAACAAATACATTTACAAGTAACTTTGGCAACAAGATGGGTTAGCAAGACAGCATCAATAGTTTCTCTACCAAAAAGAACTATGGCTTCCTGAGCCATGGATCTCATAAGACCAGGCATGAATTCCCTCCTGTTGCAGGCTCAAATCTTATCAAGGGAGCAGCTGGTTACCCCTATGAAGTTAGGAGGGAAATGTGAGATGTGTTGGGTGGAGTAAAGGAGAGCTAAAGGGAGGGGCTGGACAGTGGAGATGACTATGATACATTGTATACATACATAAATACATACATACATATATACATAAAGAATATCACTTCAGTTTGTTTATACTCTCATATGTCAAGCTAAACAAATGAAAAAGTAAATTCAGTAGTTTGTGTTTTTAGAAAATTGGTTTCAGTAATTAGTATATTGAATAAGTTTGGTCTTCTACAAATCAAAAGTTTTAATAACACATTTTAATCTTGTGAACCTTATTTAGGTATTTAACCCTCACTAGCATTTCTAAAAGTCTTTCCTGGCAATAAGTATTTCTAAGAGTGCTTGTTAGCACTATAAATTTGTCTACTTTGCACTGTGGGGCTAAAATGACTTGACTCTGTTCTACTTCAGTGAACTAAATGCTGAATTGATGCTTCAAAAGCCATTTTAATCTGAAAATGATGTTTATTTTTAGACTCTGTGAAAAGGACTTTTCACCCATGAGTATAACACAAGAAAGGGAAAATAGTGTCTCACACAAACATCTATTTTTTATTACCCTTTACCCTCATATTATGGGTATTTAGGAGCTGGGAGAGGGAAGGATGCCTTTAATTTCTAGCCTTACTCCATCAGCCTACAGGTATGGCAGTGGCTACTGTATCTCTTCTCTAATTAGAGATGGCATGTAGCTGGCTCATTACTTCTGCCTAATGAGCCAGGCTCCCTGCCACCTCTCTAATCAGAAAAGAGATAGGTACAGAGTGTTCCTATGGACTTTCTATAAATCATCTTATTTCTCTTCCTTGTGCCATTTTTTTAATCAAAAAATTAACTCACTGTCCATGTTAGTTGTGTCCATATCCAAGATGGCTTTGTTCTGAGGGGGTAGCCGTGCAGATATCTCCTCCAGCTAAATTAGAGGTGCTGTCACCTGTCACACAGCACCAGACTGACTGTCTTTGTTTTCTGTTGACTGCCTTAGACACAGGCCTGTCCAGTGGGGCCTATAACATGCCCAGCGGGGCCTTTAGTGTGTCCAGTGTGGCCTATAGTGTGTCCAGTGTGGGTTATAGATTGTCCAGTAGGGTCTATAGCATATCCAGTGGGGGCCTATAACATGTCCAGTGGGGCCTATAGTATGACCAGTAGAACCTATAGTGTGTCCTGTGGAGTCTATAGTATGTCCATTGGGGCCCATAGCACGGCCAGTGGGGCCTATAGCATGGCCAGTGGAACATACAGCATGTCCATTGGGGCCTATAGCATGACCAGTGTGACCTATAGCACCTCCAGTGGGGTCTATAATATGTCCAGTGTAGCCTATAGACTGTTCAGTGGGGTCTATAGCATGTCCAGTGGAATCTATAGCATGTCAAGTGGGGGCCCATAGTGGGGCCTATAGTGTATCAAAAAGTGTGTTTTTGGTCCTCTGGTCCTGCCTGGTAATGACTTTTCATGTGAGTATTGACTGCCCTCAACATTCTGGAGTCATATCTGTATTTGTCATCAGTTGTTCCAGGGACACATTTAGAAAATTAATAGATAAAAGGAATGCTTTTCACTGGACTTGGCTCTGTGCATCTTTATGTGGTAAGTTGATTTGATCAGGCTGCCTTTTAAATATGAAAATAGACACCATAGACCAACCATACTGTGCAAGTTACTTCTCTCTTGCAGAGATTAAATTCCATGACCGAGGCAAGTTGTAGAAGAGGGTTTATTTATGCTTACAGTTCCAGAGAATTTGAGTCCGTTGTGGCAAAGAGAAGGAAGGCATGGTAGCAGGAGCAGGAAGGTGAGGGCTCCCATCTGAACTGCAAGCGTGAAACAGAGGGAAGAAACTCATGTTGGTGCTAGTCTTTAAAATCTCAAGTCCTGCCCCCAGTGACACTCTGCCTCTAAACAAGGTCATGCCCCCTAAGCCTCCCCACACAGTGCCATCAACTGGAGACCAAGTATTCAAAAGCTGTAAACTCTGGGGACATTGTCACTCAGACCACCACACTTGTCAATCAATGTCTGTTTCTTTTTAAGGGTATCTTCTTTCCATTATAGATTTTGCTCTATGTTTCAAGTAGGTCTATACCCTTAGAGAGTTAGAGTAGCAAACATGTACTTATGAGGAGTGATTGGTGTTGATGCATAACGTTTCACTAAATATTTGATTCAAAATTACAGAGTCATGAAAATAACTTTTCAGAGCTATTTCAGAAGTGATTTAGGAACAGGTTCTTAGTTTCCTATTGATATGGGGACTACCTCACTATGTATTTAAGTGGGCAACTCTTTATTCAGAAGATTGTTGGGCTCTAAGGCATCAGTGATCATTGGTTGAGTTTCTGTGAAAGTGAATGGCAGGGAAGAAAAGACTGATTGCCCAAAGCTAACCCCAGTTGTTTTCATGTCTGTATCCACTGCTTTGGCTGCTTCTGAACTCACCTGAATGTTCTGGACTCCAGATAGAGTGCAACTTTTCTTTTTCACAGTTTTGTGCTCGTTAACCTCAGCTAAGCTAGGAAATGCCCCTTCCTTAAGTTCCATGTTTATGCTAATTTTGAGAAAGAGTTGAGAGTTGCATAAAAAGAAAACAAAAGGAAAAGTTTATGAATTCCTGAGTGGAAGAAGACAGGTAAATGGTGTGGGAAAAGATAAGATACTTAGGAACATGAGAGAGCTCGGATGATAAACTGTTTGCTGTGCAAGCCATATGCCCCATTGATATTCGGAATCCAAACTAAAGAGGTCAGGCAGTACAGCATGCCTATACACTTTTAACTCCAGGGTTGGTAAGAGACACAGGCAGACTGGATTGCCCTAGCCTATTGGCAAGCTCTAAGTCAGAGAGAGACCTGAAACAAACAAAGGGCCCAAAATGGTCACAGGTTGAGGAATGACAGTAGGGCCATCCCTCAGCATCCAAAAGAATGCCCTTACAGAAATAAACAAGAAGGCATGTACTAGCATATTCAAAAAGAAAAAGCATATAGACATGTAGGAGATCCAAGTTAAATACAAAACTGATTGCACTTAGTTGCATGAGAGTTGTCTAACTGAACTTTCAGAACAGTTGGTCAGTTACATAATATAAGATATGTAGTATGTGACTCAGAGCCATGTTGTATAAGAACTACTGATTAAGACTCAGTGGAAAGTATGTAATTGTGTGTGAGCTAGTAGAATAAGACAAATATTTTATAATTTTGTAATTTGAGACCCACGGGCATGCGTAAATGTCAACAAACATGAAAGTACTGAAATATCTGACAATTTAACTGGGAATTTAAAATTGATTCAATGTTTATCATTTTATTGTTTGGAAAAGTATGAAAGACAAAAAAAAGACGAGATTATACTCTTGTGGGAAAGAGTGAGGAAGCCTGGCAAACTACCAAGAGTTAAGCTGTGGATTACTTAATAAAAAATATTATTTTGGGGTCATTGAGAATTTAATTAGACAATGGCTTGAATCTGTTTTCAAAAATGTTCACTGTAGAGTTCAAGAAGCAGAGTTGGAATAGCTCTAGCATTCAAAAGGAAGCTAAGCAAATAAGCACAACCCATCCTATAGTGGAGGAGTGAGTGCCACTGCAAGGGGAGAAACACATCCTGTGTATTGTCATGCAAGGCCTATGTGTTTTGTCCCTTGAGAGGCAGGCGTGTGTGGAATATCCTCTTGTCCACACATCACCAAAGCACAGATATTTAAGTATCTAGACAGTCATTTGCCAAAGCAGATCCAAAATGCTAACACTGCTCCTCTCTGAGTAGAATTTAAGTGACCAACACTCATATTGCTTAACTGTGCTGGTGACAATTGCTGTGAGTAAACTATACTATACATATTTAAAGTATTTTATAACTTTGGGTGAGAGTGAGGGATGTAGGCACTTCGTGGAGTGTGGTCTGTTAATGTAACCGGATTTTGGCTCTTAGAGACCTGATTTTCATAGTATAGAATGTGGAATTGGGACTTTTACATGTTAACAGTTTGTGTAGGGCATGTGGTATTTGAACAGTGTGTCTCCAGACATTTAAATCTTTGTATAAAAAAAAGCACGATTTCCCAAATAATTGGTCATGAGGTGTGAGTCTTAGAATCAGACAGATTGGGGTTGACCCCTGATCTGCCTCTCAAGAACATTGTGAAGGAAGAGGTCGAGCATTGTTCTGGAACTCGCTCTGTAGACCAGGCTGGTGTTGAACTCACTGAGATCCTCCTTCCTTTGCCTCCTGAGTGCTGGGATTAAAGGCGTGTGCCACCACTGCCCTGCTTAGTGTCTTTTCTGGTCATGGGAATCAAACTGTGAACCTCAGTTTATGAGGTAAGTGCTTTGTGAACTGAGTCTTCCTCACAGCTCCTGGACTTGTTCTCAGTGAGCTTCCCTCAGGTGCCTCTTTGAACTGCTAGGGGCCCAGTTATCAGGACAACGAAAGGACACAGGGACCTGACTTGCAAGGAAAAGGAAATACGGGAAACTCAGGTTTCCCAAAGCAGCAAGCCTTCGCGTGACCTTCCAAGGTGGCTCCCCGTCATGGCACTGCACCTAAACCTTTTATTTGAGGAACACAGAACTCTTCCACACGCTAGCATGCTGTACAGCCCTGAGGTCCCTTCCTGCAGTCTGTCTGCTTGCCCTCATTTTGCTGCCTGCATCTTTGCTTCTCTCCCTTCTCTTGCCCCTGCCTGCCTGCCCCTCTTGCCCTGAGGGATGGCTGAACCACTCTCATCCTTGACTAACGCATGTTTCTTCCTCCCTACCTAATAGCAGTGTCTCTGGCTCTGTCTACATCACAGTCCATTACTACAGTTTCCCCTCATAGCTGAGAAGCTCTTTCCTGTCTGGAAAGTCCTGACTGCCTCTGCTCTGCCATCATAGCTGTCTCTGAGCCAGCTGCTCTTCATCTATTTGTATCTCATTTAGAAACTCTTCTAAATACCCTGGAATAATGCGTATCGTGTATTGGTTTGTTTTTCATGAAGTTGATTTCTATGCTATGTGTGATATGGAGATTGAATTTTAAGTGATTTTATTGGTACATATTTGTCCCTTTGATTTTTGTTGAATATCCATGAATTTCTTCCTGATTGTAAAATCACCTTGATCTGCCACTCTAGTTTTATGACTGTGTACTTCCTGTTTGCTTCAGAGGTCAAATTAATCAACTTCTTGTCAAAAAGTGGTACGCACATTTGATTGTGTGTCGATGTGTCAGGGTGTGTTCTTGTTCCGCTCCTGCTTCCCAGTCTTCAAACAATAATTGTTAGGTATTTTTCCCTAAATGTACTTCAGGATCCCCCTTCATGACAACTATCTAATGAAAATTTCATTAGAATTTAATTAAAATTATATACGTATATGAAGGACTTATATTGCTTTTATCTTGAATATCTACATATCTGATCTATCTGATCATGGTACATGATTCTATTTTGATTTCCTTTTTAAAAAAGATTTATTTTTATTGTCCTCTATTCTCTCTTTCTCCCACTATCTCCCTCCCTCCCTCTCTTCCTCTCTCTCTCACTCTCTCTCTCTCTCTCTCTCTCTCTCTCTCTCTGTGTGTGTATGTATGTGTGTATGTATTTGTCTGTGTGCACATGTGTGTGTGTGTAGTGTCTGTGGAAGAAGGAGTTGGATATCCTGGATCTGCAGTTACAGGCCGTTGGGAGCCACCCAACATGAATGCTGGGACATATCTGGACTCCTGTGAAACCAGCCCATGCTCTTAACCTCTGAGCCATGCCCCCAAATCCCCCATTTAGGTCTTCGTTGGTGTGCTTTGGTAAGATTTTGCATAAAAGCTACCCATATGTTTTGCTTATTCACACATGCATTAAAGCCTTAATGTTCCAGTGCTTTTGTAAACAGTGTCTTTCCTGGCACCATTCTTGGTTTTTGTTTTGTTTTGTTTTGTTTTTGCTTATATAAAGATATGTTATGGGCAATGATTCTGTGGACTGGATCATGACACTTCTACCCATTGTTGGACCAATTTCATGTATGACTTGGTTTTCATATACTGAACCAACTTTTATTCATTAAATATGTCCACTTTTCTCGTGATGTATATTCAGCTTATCAGACAAATATAGCACATTACAATCTTGTGGGGACATTTTCAGTTCTACAGAGCCTGTAATTGCCTTGTGATATCTTTTCTGACTTGGGAAATAGGGCCACACTGGCTTCATGAAATGGATTTGAGAGTGTTTCTCTTAAATTATTTGAAATAAATTGCAATGTTCAGTAGAATTTTCCAAGGAAGGCTTGAGTCCCAGGGTTTTCTTTGTGAGAATTTTAATTTTAGTTTTGTTCCTTTTCTCCTGCTCATATTCTCTTTCCATCTTGATTTGGGTTAAATTCTTGATGTCTTTCTAGCAATTTGTCCCTTTTATCAGGAGTATTTGGTTCCAGTCATAGATTTATTTATAGGTTTTACAATTTCACATCTGTGAGGTCAGTAGAAATATCTAGTCTTTCATTTCTGACTTTCATAATTCGAGTCTTTTCCTTTGTTCAGCTTGTCAAACTTAGGATATGTCAAAGACCCCTTAACAAATATCAGAGATTTCAAGGCTCCCTGTGAGCACAGCCTTCTCTAGATTATTCATATGGTTCTGGGTTTTCTCACCATTAAAGGTGCCTGAGGCACTGCAAATAGCAGCCTCTGAAAAGGGCTCCTCCTACTAGGAGGACAAAGTGTCCATCCAGATCTCAAAGGAGGGGCTCTTTAGGCTCATTGAATTATGGCAGTTTTCTGAGAAAGCTTCAGAAGGTTCCAATCCTGTATGATCCTTCCGGTGGCTCCCTAGCTGGTGGTTTTAATTTAGATTGTAGACATTTTATTGTTCCTGCCTACAAGGCTGTAAGTTTCAGAGAAAAGAATGAATGTAGAAAAGGTCAAATTTTGACAGAACTTAATATTTTTACAAATATTCATCCATTTAAAAACAGAACCTCTAAATGTCACTCAAAATCTGGTTTATTTCCCAAATTCTGAAAGCACTGGCTTGGCAGCCGTTGGAAACACAGTCTAAGCACTGCTCTTGGGACATAGAGAATTTCCACTGTTACTTTACATTCAAGTTAGTGTTCTATTGCTGTGAAGAGACACCATGATCATGGAAACTCTTAGAAGAGAAAGCATGTCATTGGAGCTGGCTTATAGGTTCAGAGGTTTAGTCCATTACCATCATGCAGAGAAGCATGGCAGCCACAGGCAGACA